AAGTTGTGTAATCATGTTTTTGGCAATGGAGATATGTGTATGTACGGTATATACAGTAACAGCATGCAAAACAAAATTAGAATCAATTACTGTAAACCGTAACCAAAGCAGAATCTAAAACAGACCAAAATGGCACTTCTGTTGAAGAGTTTCAGGGATCAATAGCTATGTCTACATGGGATAATTTGTACAAACTCTCTAGCAAGGCAATGATGGGACTACTTCAAAATGTTATAAAGGGAGCTTGCACATGAATGCAGAATTGTTAAATTAGCTTGGGGTACTTTTTGCTGTGTAGCTTGCCTACCTATTGCCATAAAATGCTTTTTAAAATCTGAATGACACAGTCAGTTACACTGAACATTCCTTTTCCTAATTAATCCATGGGTGCTTTAGTTGGGATCTTGGCACTGCAGGGGGTTGAACTAGATGACCCTCAGGGTCCCTTACAACTCTACTCTTATTACTGACTTCTGTTATCAATACTGAAGAAACACCAAAGAAGGCTCCATGCAGGATATCCCCGCCCCCCGCACTGAGGTAATGGGTTGTATTCAACTAAGTCCTATTCAGACCAGACCCATTAAATTAATTAACCTGACTTAGTCATGATAATTAACTTCAATTGGTCTAATCTGAATGGAGCTAGTATTGAATGCCACCCATGACATGTGTAAGGAAAACAGGTATTATTACATTGTGAGTATAGTATTTATTTTACCACACTCATGTTGGCTGGGAAGCTTCTATACTAGTATAGATGGGTTTTGACAGTCTGGACTGACCAGGCTATCATACACCTGTTGAAAAGCTGCCTGTAACAAAATTCATACCTGTCAGCCTTTGAAAACTAATTACAGCACCAGACACAAAGCAATCAACTTTTTCTTTTGAGTAAAATATAACTATTGTGAAAGAGCCAGCGCTAGAAACTGGATAACAGGTTCAGGTGGTGGTGGTGTTTTTTAAATAGACATTTTGCCATGGTATATTACCTGCTTCTGTATATTTTAATCCTACTTTCTCTTCTTCATCCTTTGCTTTGGGTGGTGGCCAGACAGTCTGCAGTCTACCGGGAGTCTTGTCATCCTGATCGGAAAGTACTGCATCAGTCTAATAAAACAAAAAAATATTTTAAGAAATATTAACATATGAAGGCACATGGCACTGAAAACTGCTTGTTTATAAATGTTAAAAAACAAACAAACCCAACAACCTTTCCACCATTCTTTTTGCTTAATATCCGGTCAGAAATAAGAGTACTGGGGAAATCTGAGAGCTTGCTCACAATTTTGCGACATTTTAGCTAGTTCAATATACTACATCCTGGATTTTTTTCTGACTACCTGCAATTTTTGTTTGTTTGTTCACATACGATACGTCATAATGACTGAATGCTCTGATGTGCAACAGAGGTCAATAAAGGCATGTTTTTTTCCATTACCTTTATTGTTGGGGGAAAGCCATGGGCACTCGCCACTGCACACTTGAAATGACCCACCACTATTAAAGTGTATTCACTGTGACACCAGTTTCAGTGGTTAGAGTGACCAGTTAAGGCTGGGGAGGTTTAGATTCAAATATCCATGCTGCCAATAAACTCAGTAGGTGACCTTGGGCCAGCAACTACCTTAGCCTAACCTACTTTACAGGATTTTTGTGAGGATAAAAATGTACACAGCCCTGAGCTTTCTTTTTTGGGGGGTGGGGGGAGGAAGGCAGGATTGGAATGCTGTTTTGATGCCGTGTGTGGCTGGCAGACTGCTGGCTTGGAACTCAAGAACCACAACCCAAACGTCAGATCAGCCACAGACTCAATACCTTCTGGCAAATTAGGGAGAAATCCAAACCAGCACTCCTTATATTGGCAGGGCTTTATGGAATGGTGGGACCACTGCACCACCTGTAGCCCTGCTGTGCATAGTGACTGGCAGAAGACGGGAAGGTCAGGCAGATCCCTGCACCAGTCTATATAGCTGGTGCAGTGACTGGGCCCAAACTGGGTCTGATGCTGCATGGATGGCTCAGAATCTAATGGATTCCAGAGGAGCTCAGCACTCCCCACCCATATAAAATCCAGCTCTATGGGTTTCCAAGTGACGGTACATTCAGTGGGTAGAAGGGGGCTCTGTGTCAGCAGAGTGACGAGACTCTGCAGGCGGCAGGAAGCAAATGGAGGCCAGCAGGGCTAGCAGAGAGACACTTCTACACTCATTCCTGCCTGCCACCCAAAAAGGGTGTGTTGCTTGCTCTGCTAATCATCTCTCAACTTCAGTACATTTCTGAAATGGGAAATTTTCTGACAATATCAGTGTGTTGTTATGAGGTTAGACAACCCATATTGTGTATCATATTTTGCATGGTAAAGGGACTATGCAATTTATAAATAATAACCCACATTTCAACAATACCGTTCTGAATGCACAGAATTCACCAATACAGTTTAGTATTGTGACGCTGGGTGCTGTCGAAACAGGCATCCCAGTCTCAGAATGGTAATGCTACGCTTGGGTCTTTTCTATCCAAAATAAGCATTTGCCATAAGTATTTTTGATCACACCTATCTATTTACCCAATTAGTATTTTGCATTAGCCCTAGCATACAACAGTATTAATCAACCTACTGGTTTTGTGTCAGTTGCTCCATCACCTTTAGACCTTTCAAATACTGCCTTCAGTGATTCTTTTTCATGTCTCATTTTGCGTTTTATCGCTTCTAGCTCTGAAGTATCAGCAGTTGTCTCTTTTTTGGGAGGGCGTGTAAATAAAGCTTTAAATGCATCCAATGCAGATTCAGCGGGACTTGGTTTTGCCTCTTCAGAGGTAGAGGATGCTTTTCTCACAGAAGATTTGCTTTCTTGGCCATTCTCGCTGCTGCCATAATCACTGGACACCTCACCAGAATCTTTTTCTTCATTTTTAGGCCCTAAGAGATGAGAGAGTTGTTCTAGAAAGGTAGGGGCCGCTTTGGGCTCTGCTGGTTTCCTCTTAGTTAACTGATCAGGTGCAATACTGGACTTTTTAACAGGCTGTTTTAATTTAAGCATAGCCAAGTCGCTGTCTTTCTGTTTGATTTCAGTGACAGTTTCCTCCTGATCTGAAGAGAATCCTTTCTTCCGTACACGTAACCCACTGAAAAAAGCAGGAAGCTGAAAGGTCTTCTCATTCAAAGATGGATTTTGGATGGATGCCGTGCTGGAATTGCTTGCAAGAGGTCCTTGCTCATCTACAAACCCCTGAGTATCTTCTCCTGTGAGAGACAGGCCTGTATGGTTCTCATTGGTCAGTGCTGCAGTTTCAGTTTCTGAACAAATTTCATGTAGTGTATCATCCATTTCTGTTGAATGAAGCTGAGAACTTGGTAGAATCTGCTCTGTTTCACCTCCATTTATAGTACCATCTATTTCTCTATATCCTTCTGTTTCTGGCTCTTCTTTATTTTGGTCATTATCCTCCAAAGACACAGTACTATTTAAAACAGATCTGTTTGCTATATTTTCGTCACTGTTAAGATCTGTAGGCTCATTGTCTGATTCTGTGTCACTTGTTGCATGAACCAAAGTACCCTGAATAAGAATGGCATCCTTGTCATTTTGTTTGCCAAATTCAGACAAAAGAGAGTGTTGAGAATCTGAATGGGAAAGATAGGGATCATTCTGCTCCTGCAGTTCCAAGTCATCTGGGCCGTAAGTGTCAGGCTCATAGTCATCTGGGACAATGGTAGTGTCTACAAAGTCAACAGGGGTGCTGCCGTAGACTTCATAATCAACATGGTTGCTAATATCAACCTCAAAGTTACCCAGGGCAGCATCAGCATCAAAGTCAGTTGGCACCCAGGCACCCACTCCTGAGTCAACTGGGGCAGTGGCATCAGCCTCGAAGGCAAACATGTCGCAAGTACTGGATTCTGAAATTTCATAAGCATTGTTTGGGCTTTCAGACTGTGGTATTTCTGAAAGTTGATGATCTCCATCCAGATAATCATCTCCATTGATTCTGCTCCTCACTTCCTGGTTGTCAGCATGGCTACTGATATCACTGACATTTCGAAATCCTTTAAGAACAGCTTGATCTTTTGAAGTGCCTGGTTGCAGTTTAGCCGTAAATCCAAAAAGGGCTTTCATAGAAAATTTTGTGTAGAGAGTTGGGCCTGGTTCAGGTTCGGTTGCCCCCTCTAGACTGGAGAGCTCATTATGGTCTGAAGTCTGATTTGCTTCCATGTTGGGCAAATCACAGCAGTACTTATTATATTCCCAGAAGCTATCAGTTCGTTTCTATATGATTACTCTCAGGGAACATCTTTCATTCACTCTATTACATTAAAACACCACAGAGAGAGGCAGTTTTTCACCAGATCACACACTGCTCTTTCTAACAATGGTCTGATCTGAAATGCACATTCCAGCCAAACTTTACAACTTGAACAGAGGCGAAACGGGAAGATTTTGCTTCCATAAAAACTTCCCAGCAGCGTCACAAATTATTTACACAATGGGCCTATTTTTTGTCAACGCAAATCTGCTACAAACTCCACCGCCTGTTGCACTAAGGCTTACTGTTCTTTTCTGCTACACTCAGCCTTTTTACTGAATAGAAATAGCAGTTAACAAGACAGATCTCTTTCTCTCATTCTCACTCTCTCTCAACAGAACAGCTGGTACTTGCAGTTTGCTACTTCCTCATGCCGGCCGGAGAATCAAGGGGGAAATCGTCAGCAGAAAAACTCCTCAAAAGTTTCTTGAAAGGCACCCCATGGTGGTCAAAAGCTGCTTTGAGCAAAGTCGTCGAAGGAAGGCAAGATCAGAAAGCTGGAAAATCCCAAGCAGAAAGAAATGTTTCCAAATCTTCACACACACACACAAACGAGCCTTCTTTTAACTTCTGGAGATTCCTAGTTGCTGAGAAGTCCCAGTTAACGTTGGTGCCCTTGAAGCTGAATAATCATAATAAAAAAAAAGAAAGCACCACTCTTCCGCTTTTGCTTCAGGTTTCTGTCTGGAATGCAGATTCCAGCCAAGGAGCACCAACCAACGAGGCTGGTTCCGTGTTGCTGCGTCTTAAACTCTGCACAGCTCTTTCTGCGGACCATAAACAGGTAAATTATCAGACAAGGTAACCACACCCACGGATTAAAAACTACCTAGGAGGGCAAGGTAAACAGCCACTGCCCAGAACTCGGCCATTAACTCTGCAAAGAAGAGAGGGGTGGAAACATGCACGTCCACTGTCTTATCTTCCAAAGCGATTTCTCTTAATTCGTTTTTTTTTTCTTAATTCCTGGGTTTCTTTGCATCTTAGATCTCTGCACCTATCTTATTTCCTCAGTCTAGGAGAGGGGAAAAAGAAAAGCGCACGGGAAGAAGTCCCAGAGGGGGAGCTGGGTTACTCCGCGGCAGCAAAAACAGGTAAGAGCCGGTGACGAAACTAGAAAACTCCAGGTAAAAACTCTGTGTATAAAAAAGGCTTAGAATCAGCGAGTCAAGGAGTAGCTAACTTAGAGGTAAGTTGCTTACAACCTCCTCTCCCCGCCCCCCACCTCAATTCCTTTTCTGGCAAATAGCCTTATGCAATGTTTTATTTTTTCCCCGGGGGGTACTCAAGCGTACACATACCCCTAAAAATTTTGCGAATCATCTAAGTTTGGTCTCATTGAGGGGCAGTATTTTTTTTAGAATAAAAAGCATTGGCCTTATTAAATGATTTCTAGCATTTAAAACTGGAAGGCTGCAACCTTCTGCCCACGTTCCTGGGAGTAACCCCCAAGGAACTTGGTGGGATTTACTTCTGAGTAGGTGTGTATAGGATCGCACTGCAAAGGTTTTCAGAACATACAGTACTAATCACACCAGATGGGGATGGTTATTGGTTTGTTGTGTTCTCATTTTGTATTTTTATGTGGTGAACCGCCCTGTGGTCTTCTGATAAAGGGTGGTATACAAATTTAATAAATAATAATGATACTAAAGAAAGCTCACACCAGAAATCTATCTAATCTAGCATCCTAGCTCAGATCCTAGCTGTCCTGAGAATGGGACAGAGTTCATGTTTGTGGAACGGAAGATTTCCCTCTTCCCCCTCCACTCTGATGTGCAAATAAAAACTTTATTGCTCCTTACACGAGCAGAGAAAGCTCAGAAGAAGGTGAGAATGGCGACAGTAGCCCCGTGTTTTTCCTCCTTGATTGGTAATCAGAAGTATATTGCCCTTAAATATAGAGCAAGATGAGTTGGGATTCATAAAAGACCTTTCTCTGAGGTTACACCTAAGTTATGGAGCTCTCAACCTCTTGTCTCAATAATAATAATAATAAATTTTATTCATTCATTCCCCGCCCATCTGGCTGGGTTTCCCCAGCCACTGTGGGAACAGAATATGAATATGAATATTATTAATATATTATTATTATTATTATTATTATTAATTATTAATATTCTCACCCTCCTCACCTGCTGTGCCAACACTGGTTTTTTTTCATGTAGGTATTGAATTTGACAGGCTGAAGCTTTCAGTTTGTGTGTTCATCTTCTAACCATTTTATTGTTTTTTCTTGGACTGGGGAACTGGGAGGGATTTCTTCGTTTTACAATGGTTATTAAACTTCCCTGAGTACTTAGTACACAATGGAAGAATAGTATATAAATCTTCAGAAACAAATAACTGAAACAAACATGGTTTTGGCAATAAATTTCATCAGTTGGTCACACTAAGTGAAGTGCTTCCTCCTCTTTGACCTGCAGCTTTGCCAGCCAGTTATACTTAGTAGCCCTGGTCTGTTCAGGTATCATTCAGGTTATTAAAAGCATACCCATTTATAACAGGAAAACTTCCAGACTTGCTCATTTCAGCATGGCGCTTTCAATCTAAACAGGTCTGAAAGACCTTTTTATTTAATTTACACTCTCCGGGCCTCAACTGCTAGCTTTCCAGATGACTGATGCAGTTCTCAAGTTGTTGTAGGGGGACATAGGGAGATCCCTAATGAAATCCACCCTGTAACTCCTCCAATGACAGCCTTCTAAAAACAGTTGGCTAAGGGGACTCGGGTTAAGTACTTAATTCGTTCCGGAGGTCCATTCTTAACCTGAAGCACCACTTTAGCTAATGGGGCTTCCTGCTGCCGCCGCGCAATTTCTATTCTCATCCTGAAGCAAAGTTCTTAACCCGAGGTACTATTTCTGGGTTAGCGGAGTCTGTAACCTGAAGCGTATGTAACCCGAGGTACCACTGTATACTGAGTTGCAGATAGTCACTGAGTTTTAAGAAACCATGGAAGAACAAAAGCAGCTTGGATTACACAGTTCCATGTCAATTTAGATCAGTGGATAAATATTTTCAGGAATATTAGGGCAGTTTGACTGTGTTCTGGCAATCATCTCTCAGCTTAATAAGGCAAGATATGGCTTCATTTGCATATCATGGTAAGCCAAACTATAGCTTACTGGGACCACGCAAATGTGAACACGCCTGGCAAGGAACTCCCAGCTCTGTTTTTACAGCAATCCTTGGCTACTACAGCTCATGGTTAGCAAGGCCAGAGCTAAACCACAAGCTTGGGTTTGGTTGACAAACTGAGCCAAAGAAATGTATTTGAAAAGGTTTCCATAGCCCTGTGTTTCGTGGCATGAGAAAATCAACCGTTTGCAGTAGAAAACCATCTCAACTTGGTCTTAAAGGAATGTGTGAAGTGGCCCAGAAGCTTATTTAATAAATAAGAATACAACCAGGCCTTGGACTGACTAATATTCTATGGCCTTTTAAATGGGTGTGAGAGAAGGGGGTTATTGTTTTGTTTTTGTTTAACTGATTATTTTGTGCTTTTATACTGTATCTTTATGTTGTGAAGGGGCCTGAGATCTTTGGATGAAGGGCGGTCTATAAACTTAATAAATAATAAAATAATAAAAATTAGCTGGCAACTGACTGAACCTCTGCTTTCCAAGGTGAATGTTCTCCTGGAGTGGAAATCCTCATTATTATTTTCCCCTCCTGCCATTATGTTCTCTGTATGTGCATAACAATTTCTTACGCTATTTACACTGTAGTGACTGCTTTGCAATTGCAATGACTCTGGTGACTTTATTCATCTGAGGCATGGTCAGCTCATGTTGGCAGGCGGCATACCATCAAAAGGTAGATAATTATAGTGTAATTGTATAATGTGCTTTTATATTTAGAGCACTACTCTGTCTTAAATGGGATAGCCAGGAAGAAGGTATTAAGTCTTAATTTTTGTTCACTAAACAGGTTACTGCTCTCCATACAGTCAATATTTAAAGTCATAATCTACTTTCTGAAATTCCTTTAGCTAACAATGGAGATATGGAATGCATATGGAATACCATCTCAGTGGATGCTTTGCAACTGTCTTGGGTAAGGAATGGTGGATTTTCCAACGTAGACAACAATGACATTGCAAAGATATAGTTGCCACCACATTTCCTGAAGGAACTGTGACTCAGTTTGGTCAAACCCTCCCATTTCTGTGTCATAATCTTTGAAACTAAACATCAAAGGCTAGGATATAACTATGCTTCAATTATAGCTAAATGCATCCTGTATTCAGAAGGACCAAGTAGTTTAATGTTCAGTTAATAATAGTGAACTCATGTGGTTTGATTTTTCTGTTTGGAAGCAAAATAGGACAACCCCCAAACAGTGGAGTGTTTCCTACATACTCTCCCCAGTATGAAGAACAGAATTTGAAATAAAATAAATGTTTAAAAACAAACCCCAAATGGCCTGACAATAACCTATGAGCTTTTTATGGGTTTAAGTATGCTGCAAGCTGCCCAGAGTGGCTGGGGAAACCCAGCCAGATGGGCAGGGTATAAATAAATTGTTTTAAGTGTATCTGGTTTTGTTTGTGTTTTTTTAAAGTGTTTTAAATTGTTTAATGTGCAAATTGGTGTGACACAGCAGTTTAGAAGGAAAACATAAATTGAAATACAGTCATACCTCAGGATAAATACGCTTCAGGATAAGTATTTTTGGGTTGTGCTCCGTGGCGACCCAGAAGTAATGGAGTGCATTACTTCTGGGTTTCGCCACTCGCACATGCGCAGTCAAAATGACATCACGTGCATGCGTGGAAGCAGCGAAACGCCACCCACGCAGTCGCGTCTTACGTTCTGTTCAGGATGCGAACGGGGCTCCAGAACGGATCCTGTTCGCACCCCGAGGTAACACTGTAACAACAACTATTATTTTCATATGTGCAGAATCACAGCTTTGGCTGTACAGCCTTATAACCACTAGAGGTTTAAGCTTGCTATAATAATCCCAAACACCAAAGAAGCAAGCAATTTGAAATATAAGCAACAGGACTGTATTAAAGCAGTGACCTGAAGATACACGGTCAACAAGCAACTCTAGAATTACCATAAATCAGAACTTTACATTTTTTTTTTACATCTCTCACTAATTATTTATAAATTTTGCTTCATTTTTGGATCTCTGTTTTGTGGATGTGACACTTCGTGTAAATATCTCTTTCTTTTCCAGGCTCTGCAGGCGCACACATTTAAAAACGCAAAAATAGGCAAAATATTTTAGGTACAGTTTATTGTTTACAGAGTTAATAACAAATAAATTTACAAACAGATTCAATTACAACATGTGGGAACATTGCTAACTGTTGAAAAGGCAGGGCCTATCACTTAATTCTGTGGTGCTATAATGTAAGTAGATGTACAGGTGATTTATCAAAAAGCAACAACTGCTAAATTTCAGAATAGGGTGATAAAATCTTACAGGGTTTAGAAGATTATTCACAGCATCTTTCCACAGATATTGTGTCTTTAAAAGAAACTGATGTATGCAGTGTTTCTAACGGCCTGTGAAATAGCTGCATTACGGATCTGAAGTTGCTATCACTGTAGAAAAATGTTGCACATATTGGACAGTCTGTTATTTTTCTATTTGGAATACACTTTCCCTATCGTAGTACAGTCGTACCTTGGAAGTTGAACGGAATCAGTTCCGAAAGTCTGTTTGACTTCCAAAACGTTCAGAAACCAAAGCATGGCTTCTGATTGGCTGGGAAAGCTCCTGCAGCCAATTAGAAGCTGCGGAAGCCCTGTCAGACATTTGGCTTCCAAAAATAGTTCGCAAACCGGAACACTCACTTCCAGGTTTGCGGTGTTCAGGAGCCAAAAGGTTTAAGAACTAAGCTGTTCGAAAACCAAGGTACAACTATTCAAAACCCAGCTATCACTCCTTTCCCTTTAGACTCATCTTTTTATTGTGCATTGTGATGGAGAAAGGCAACTTATGAGTCGGGTTAGAATACCTATTTTGTTATTATGGTATGAAGGATTCTTAAATATACAATGAGAGTTTCAGAAATATTACTTATTAAAATAAGATGATGGCAAAATTCCCTAACTTACGTCAACTCGTAGTCTTAATTGGGTGCACATTAAAAGTACAGGACTCCCAAGTGTGAAGACTGTACAAATACAGGTGCATGAGGGGGGAAAGGGGGGTATGTCATTAAAACAAACATTAAAATAGTTTGTGGTATCTGCTGTTGTTTCACATCAGACACAACAAACTAATTAATGAATTCATTTCAGGGTTTTTTTTAATTTAGCTCGCAACTGCCTACAACGTTAGGAATCACTAGTAATAAAGGAATATCCAATTTAGCCCCAGTTATTCATTTCCACCATTTAACTCATGCGTTAAAATGCTAACATAAAAAGCCACTCTGTAAAATTATAGCCAAAACTGAACATACAAATTCTAAGTTACTTTATCAAGCAAGTAAACATGCACAAAACAAAAGTTTTCTTAAGGGCATGCATGCAGCAATCTGATTTATTTCTAATCCATTCCTGTAGCTTTGCCAACAGATGTCAGCATTGCTCACGTTAGTTCAACTCCGAGCACTGCTGCAGCAGTTGCTGCTGATCATTTGGCTGAAAACTGCTGCATGATAGCATGAAGCTGGCTTCACAATATCAGAATATTAAAGGCTTTATTGCCCGGAACCCAATAATGGTCTGTAAACATCTGAGGTTGTAGCATTGCTGACACTAATCAGGCATAGGCCTGAGCAGTCTCTTGGATAGGAGATTACTGTGAGTCCCGTATTCAGGGTAGAATAGAAGTCTTATAAATTATACATTAAAAAGAAGAGCTAATTAACTATGTCGTTAGTAGACTATTTAATAAACAGCAGTTTGAATCAATAGCAATTAATAAAGTCATTTATAGAACTACTCACATTTAGGTCCAGGCGCAGTGAATTTCTGTCAGCTCTCTCTGACTCACTGAAACAGGTAGATGGATAAGATTCTCCCAACCTGCAACCTAAAACCCAGGCATCGCCATCTTTATTTGTGGCATGTATATTAGCTGCCTGTTCTGAAAAGTCATTCTTCAAAGCAGCTGCTGGAATACCTAAATGATTTTAAAGAAGAAGAAAATTATCCCCACTTATGAGAACTGCGGTGTGCCACTTGGAGCTTTACAGTACCACAATGGAAAGAGTACTATATATTTGGCTTTCATTTGATTGACAAGATTTCACTAGCCCGTCTTGGGTGTCCCTTTTCTTGCAGCTTCGTCTGAAACAGACTCAAAAGTTCATAGCTCCTTTGGAAAAACTCCCGTGCTCTATACCAAAAACAGATTTCGTAGGCATACCCTGATTACAGATGATCGACTCAACAGGTCTCCCAATCAAACCTGGATTAGAGAACTAGAAAAATGCTTGTCAACAGGTAAGCAGGAGCAGGAATGGAGACAGGGCCTGAGTAGTACCATGATTCTTGCCAACCCAGAGCATCTTTGTATTCTTTGTACACAGGATTGACTTTTATCTCTTTGGACAGCCAGGTGACCAAGGCTCAGGAGGGAGAGTTTTGCCCCCGGTGAAGCATATCCCCATTAGAAGAATGTTACTTGCCTTCATTCACATATGGAAAATAAAACCAAGAGATGTACATGGTAACACTTGTCATATTTAACATGGACCACACTGTGATGATCCTGATTCCTTGTGCTAGATGTCTTCCAGCCACATGAAACATATTTAAAGGTAAATGTCCCTTAGGTCCAGTCGTGGCCGACTCTGGGGTTGCGGGACTCATCTCGCTTTATTGGCCAAGGGAGCCGGCGTACAGCTTCCGGGTCATGTGGCCAGCATGACTAAGCCGCTTCTGGCAAACCAGAGCAGCGCATGGAAACGCCGTTTACCTTCCCGCCGGAGCGGTACCTATTTATCTACTTGCACTTTGACATGCTTTTGAACTGCTAGGTTGGCAGGAGCAGGGACCGAGCAACGGGAGCTCACCCCGTCGCGGGGATTCGAACCGCCGACCTTCTGATCAGCAAGTCCTAGGCTCCGTGGCTTAACCCACAGCGCCATTACTTTGCTGCTAAGAACTTAATGGGAGAAACTGAGCATCAAGCCCATTCCTATCTAAGGGTCCCCACTGTAAGTTCCTGTCCCACCACAGATTCACTCAATTCATGCACAATATGTGTGGAAAAATAATCCATGTGTCGAATGTGGGCAGCTGTGCTACTGGCCCTGCCTCAGCATTTAACAGGTGACTCAGCCCCACCCACCAGTGTCCCTGATCCCACACAGGGTTTTCCGCACCCATTGGGGCTTATTTGAATAGGCTCCTCTGACCTACTCAGATGGTCAAGATAGCAGTGTGACTTTGAAGCAGAGCCAGGGGTGCAGCCCCCACTGTCTCTTTCAAAACATGGAGGGGGACGGTGTGACAAAGAGACAGAAACCAGGAACTGGCTACAAACACATATAAATGGATGCTAAATGCAACAGCAATTAGCACCTGAGCAACTTCCAGTTATCCTTTTACATACCATGCCACAAAACCAGGAGAAAATACAAAAGAAATGGGCTCCGTATATGGAGGTGTACTGCAGTTTTTAAGTAGGGGAGCCACAGGCCACTGCAGCAGTGAAGACTGGCATAGACTGAATGGATGTGGGGCTGCCATGGGGGAAATATGGTGGACAGACAGAAACAGAGAACAAGAGCATAGTATGAAAGTTGCACAAGACTGAGGGAAAATGAGGTACATGTTTGGATGCACAGATCTATAGATGAGAAGCACACTTGCAGATACGAAGTCCCAAAGGATGGAGTCACACTAAACAGAAGGTACCAGATGGAAATAATATTTATGTAATATCATTAATACTTACAGCCGGCCCTTCCCTGAATGTTCCCAGTACTGGTTACATAAAATATCACAATTTTTAAAACAATACAATACATTAAAATCATTAAAACCACTAAAACTGAACAAAATATCTTAATAATTAAGGAGCTGTTTTGATGTTCTCTCTCTGTGTGTGTACACTTTTGGTGCAAAATTGGCTCCTGACTTAAGAGTTTTGTCTCCCGCATCTAAGAACTAACTTGACTTAAGGATTTTGTGCGCTTGCATGAATGCATACAGCAGAAGACTGACAAGTTTTCCAGAACGCCAATAACCATTAGTAGAGGATCAGAGGTCTACGGCAAAGTTGCATTTCTCGCTTTACAAATATCCTTGTTCAAGCACAACAACAGCAATTTAATCAGACAGAGCCAGTAAAGATTATTGCTAACCTGATTAGGTAACATGGTCGCGTATCAAGGACTTCTGGTACAATGGAGAATGCAACTGTTTTCCAACCATTATCTCCCATGGCCACTCTTTGTCCCGGCTTGGACTTTTGGGAGTAGTTTTAGGAACTGATTGGTCTTAGAAATAGATCATACGGTTGAAGGGGTAGGACACTCACTGACAGTGAATGTAGCAAAAACCAGAGACTGTTATGAGGAAGACTGATAAACATCAAATATGTGTTGAATGATGAACATGCTGCTGAGCAAAAACTAGTCAGGTGAAAATGATTCCAAATTCTACAAAATTCCTGCTTAGGCCATGTTCACATAAACAGGAACTTCAGTTTCATGAACTCTTGGCAGTGTAAATTTCTTCAGAACTCTCACTAAAGGCATATTCACATGGCTCTTTGAGCGCATAACATCTATAGGGATCCCCCCTCTTTAAAATCAGTTTGTGGTGATTTTCAACTGCGCTGCCACAGGCTTAGCAGACCATGTGACCACCAAGCTGAATTAATATTGAATTTGATTTTGATGTTGATTTGAAACTGGTGAACAACCCAATCAGCACATGGTCTTATCAGTTGCCTGAGTGGCGCATACAGAAGGACCATGTGGCTCCTGTGTAAATAGGTCCTGTGAGAGAAGGAAGGGCTACTGCATAATCCTACTTCCAATCTGTTCATCTGATATCGCAGTACAAAGAAACACTTTCTCATGAGAAATTCCAAGTAAGGAAAACCTGAAAACTTTTAGCTGCTAATGCCGGGAGTCTTACACATGGAAACATAAGTGCTACAGCCCCCTTCTTAAATAAAACATACAGCTGTTTCTTGTGTCGGTTCCCCTTGTGAACAAAAGTGCAGTTCAACAGAGTAGCCAAGGCGCAAATGAAAACAGAAATCATGCTTGCCTTTATTTCCTAAAATCCCTAAGATCTAGCGACCTCTAGAGTTCGAAAGATGCAACAATCCCATGCATATAATATAATGACAATATACAAAGAAAGTAAATCAATTAAAACTACAGTATTATGCTATAGGAACAGAAGGGGAGGTGTGGCGAGATAGAATACAGCATCTACGAATGTGGCTGGGGGAAATGATTAAATAACAGAATAAGCACAACCCATTTTGTGAAATATTTTTCACATGGAAAGAGGTGATCAAAATCAACACCATAATCTCCAACACCATACTATATTAGGCACCATCTATAAATGTTATAAAATCTATGGTCATGATCCTGGCACACTTAAGTGCTTTTAGGTTTCCTTGATTTTACTAAAGGCTGTTTTAAGTTTCCTACTGAAATCCACAGGGCTTGCAGCACCATCTTATGCACGTTTACTCAAAAGCAAATATGTGCTCAATTGTAAATACAGTTGGGTCATGCCCAATATTTTAAGAAGACACTATAATAAAAAAATGTTGATAAAAACAGATTTGTTTCCAGTAAGAACCAGGCAGTTGCTCATTTAGCAAAGGACCATAATTCTGCTCAGTGAAGATATTTCAACCGCATATTTCAGCATAGGGCCACACTACACATTGCACTGCAGGTTAGTGTTTCATTTGTGTTTCCAGGATTGCGGACCTGCGAGTACAGGGCAGTATACTACCACTATACTACTACTATACTACTGATACTAATACTACTAGTAGTATTACTACTAGTAGTATTACTACTAGTAGTAGTAGTGGTGATAATAATAATAATAATAATAATAATAATGCATCCACAGGGGGTCAGGTGAGGAAGATGCAGACAATATATTTGGTGGTGGTAGGTGAACATAGTGTTTTACCTTACTCCCAGCATCATTTCCCAGTAAAAAGTTGCCTTCCCAACACTATACTTCAGTAAAAAAACAAAACAAGATGTTAGATCAATCACAGATTTCCTGTGCCATTTTATTGGGAATGTGTGGCACGGTTTGTCCTTTAGGATGACCTCGACTTGGAAGATATTCCACAGGCCCTGGCTGCTGCTTCCCAACCCAGCCACTGTCACGTGGAAGAGACATTGTTAGCAAAACCCTTTTAAAGGACTAAACAAGGACAACAGCAGAATCTTCTTGCTTGTTATTTTTTTGCCTTTTCAGATGAAATCTTCTGGAAGACAGATGTGTCACGTTTTACTGCCAGAGGAAGGCAAAGCACATCATCATTTACACACGAAAAAAGGCTTCGTCAGAAGTAGCCCAAATGAATTATGCATCTGGTTTAAAGTAACCTAATGCTTGGTTTTCCAGAATCACTGCGACATTTCCTCAACGAGAGGAATTAAGGCATGCAGTTGTTGTGTGCAACAGTATTTATTAACAAAAAGGTCATAGCATTGAAGAGTGCAATCCAACTGTCACTGGTTCATCAACTGGGGGGAGGGGGGGCGCTGGCATTAGGATGAGACAGAAGACTCCCAATGCCACCGGAAGTGGAGAAATACTGCCTTAACTGAACACACCTGTGTAAATGCCTGGGAAAGGTTCTGCAGGTGGAGTTCCACCCACAGACACCTAAAAATGAGCCGGAGTTGTGGGCACCACAAGAGGAGAACTGCCAATACCTAATACCCACGGTCAGCCCACCCATGAGGCAAGGTGACGATCCACAGGGGCCCTTTTGGCTTAGGGCCCTCGTATTTACGGGACCGCCTCCTGGTATGCCCCGCAGAGGACCTTATGGTCCACGAATAGTTTAGAAGTCCCAGGCCCTAAGGAAGTCAGACTCTGTCCCATGAGACCAGGGCCCTGCAGGATTTAACTTCCTTCCGCAGGGCCTGTAAGACAGAGCTATTCTGCCTGGTTTTCAATTTGAACTTAGCCTGATCTTTTATCCCCCTTCCTTCCCTCCCCCTCCCCTTTTTATGAAGATTACCTGCTCTGGGATCCCACAGCAAATTCACCCCTGGTCTCCTTGCTGGCCCAAATAGGACTAATTTAGCCAGCTAGCCCTGGTGATCATCTAATGTTTATTGGATGGATTTCCCCCCTAAATTGATTTTTGAATTCTGAATTTATTGTTATTCACATTTTATACTGTATTTTATGCTGCTTTTTTGTTGCATCAATTAAGTGTTTTAAATTTGTTGTTAGCCGCCCTGAGCCCGGTTTTCTGAACCGGGAAGGGCAAGGTATAAATAAAAAAATATTATTATTATTATTATTATTAATATTATTTAGCCTCCAAAGAATGCATCGCCCGTTGCCACTGTCATGTGCTCCTTGGAGACCAGATCTGCTTCCAGCTCAGCAGCCCCCTACCCCAATGCTGCCTCTGCT